CAGGCTAGGGGGCAACTATTCAGGTTGTGTGCTACAGTGACATGCAGAAGGCCTGAGGTTTTCATCCCATTGTATAAATCGATTGTGCGCCCACACATGGAATACTGTGTGCAGGCATGGGCACCGTATTACAGGAGGGATGTAACGTGCTTAGAGCGAGTACAACGCCTAGCCACCCGAATGGTGACTGGGCAAAAGGGGAAGAGCTATGAGCAGCGGTTACGAGATCTAAATCTCTTTTCGCTGGAGCGTAGACGAATGAGGGGAGATCTGATAGAGACTTTTAAAATTGTAAGAGGTCTATCGGGACTCAACCTAGATGACTTGTTTACGATTGCTCGTGCTCAAAACACGAGAGGTCATAGCTATAAACTTCAACAGAACCACGCCAGACTAGAAGTACGGTCCAACTTCTTCGCACACAGGGTCATACCTATGTGGAACAAGTTACCTGCAGAAGTGGTCAACTGCGCCAATGTTAACACCTTCAAGGTGGCACTGGACGCATGTTGGTCAGAAACGTTCCCCGAAGTTAGTACTTAGACTGGGAACATTAAAAGTAAATTCTACTTTGCGAGAAGATGTGAAATGATATAAACGTGAGTTTGAGTGTTGAAATTAGTCTAAAAACCTGATTATCTTGTCACACGTAAGCTGTATACTAGCGCAAGTGTACTTGAGGTCTCTAACCAATGAGGCGAGGAGATATCCTTGCTTGTTTTCCTCCCTTTCAGCATACCCGTAAGGAGACAACGTTCTGGACACGGGGTTGAAGTGTGAGGATCACAAATACTCAATCAACCGTACGCAGTGTTGGAAGCTAATCCCATCCGCCGACAACACAACGAACTGGACGCTCGATTGGCAAGAGCCATATTCGTCCTGTGCAACTGAACTGAACTGTAATGTGGTGCGAAAAACCAGCTCAGCAGCTGACCCGTGTTTCTCGATCACCCGGTGTGGATCAAGAAAAGCAACTGGTTTGTCAAGGTGAAGTATATTAATCCCTCAAACCACCGGAGGTTAGCCTAACTACGCTCGAGAGTATATGATTGCGAAGATGCTTAGCAAGCAGAGGTATAGCACTGAAATCACGCACTGTTCAAAGTTTAGTTACTTCACCTTAGGTGGCAGTGACTCAAACAAAGATAAAACCCTAGCTGAGGAAGCGGTCTCAAGATATCAAACATCCTGGCAAAATCAATACTACAAATAAGAAGGATGCACGAGCGAATGCTCCAAGCAACCAATGCTTACAACCATGCGAAAGCATACATGCGGAACAGGCAGACAAAAGGTGGTGACAACTCTCGGGCATGGTCCGCTGTCGGTCTCAAGCCACCATAATTGCGCGGAGCCAGTTATAAACATAGCGAAGCCGAAGCGGGAAACTAAAGATCGACACGTTCAAAATATGTTTCGGTTAGCATTGTTGCTTCCGAACAACCCATACACCAAGTGTCATAGAACTGGCCTGTGGAAAGGTTAGAGCTCACATGGTCCCAGGCGTCTCTCAGTGGTATTTCCAAACACAAACAAGAAATTTATTACTCTAGCGTAACCGATTATACGATGAAAGACGGACCATAGTAGACATTTGCCGGACACCTTTTATCTACAATCTAAATGTGTGTTCACATTTTTACTTCAGTACAGACGCCATGTAACATTTGTTTTATACGATCGAAAACTGCTGCATCCTTCCGAGAAACGAACTTTCGCTTTTCTCTTTCACTCCGTTTCGCTCGTCATCGCGCTCGTTGATTCTCGTGTCTCCGTGCTTTAACGCAAACGCTCGTTAGCCGGTACCGGTACTTTCTCCGTGCCACGGTACCTCAGTAAATGTCTACAACCACAAATCTTCTGGTTTAACCAGCTGTAACTAGGTTGTGTTGCGAGGTCGGGGTTTCCGTTTTGAAGAGCGTCACGGCCCGTCATAGTCGACGTCACTTCACTACTATCACGAGCTTCAAGTATTGAGGATCTCACTCAGAGGCGTATAATTGTCACCCCAGAGAAACCTATCAGGTTGATGCACCAATTAAGGAGAGGAAACCATTTAAGCGCCCATCACACCAAATACGTAATACCTCGCGTGCCAAGAACTAGAGAACCTTTGAGCAAATCTACCCCGGAATTACCAAAGAATGTACCAGCAAAACCATATGTAAGAGAGGGCCCACAGAAGAGATCTGAAGAGGGCAATGCCGCGGTCCACAAAGTAAGGTCTAACCCGACTAGAACACAGGACATAGCTCCGCAACTGAGGACCTTAGTTGCAGCTGGCAGGGCAGAGAATGGAGCCACTGTGAGCTGTGATGAACCACTTATATGGGCGACAACAGTAGCGAAATCCCCGGCTATCCGAGTGCGAGGGAGATTCAGTACTCCAAATGCGAATGAGGATGTAGGTAAGGGGGTAGAGCAGGCTTTTGGAGTGAAGATAAAAGTCATATTCAGGGAGAAAGGTGGAAAAGCTTGGGAAGTGGAATAATAATAATAATAATGGTATATTTCTCGGATTACAACGAGAGACATGCATGTGGT